TTGGGCCCCTTGGGTCCCTTCCCACCCCCGATCCGTCCTCCTGCCCGTTCAGGAAGTGACCCTCCCCATCCCGACCGTTTCATTGGTCAATGCCCCCACTTAGTCGGTCGGTTCTTCCCGGATCCCAGCCCATAGAACCAATAAGGCAGTGGACGGATTTAGACCAGACCGGGGGGCAGGAGCCTTGGGCCTTGGGCCTCCCTAACTGGAATGGGCGCCGTTGCTCTTAATGTCAATGCGGGAACGACGCACTAGAAGCATGCATTTCTGTTCTGGACGGGTAGGGGGGTTTTCTGGGTCGGAACTAGAATACTTCATGCTGGAATCGTCCTATTCAATCAATGCTATATGCTGCATGCTCTTTATCCAGAGGCGTGCAAGTGGGAGAGAGAGAAGAGTCTGGCGTGGGACGATGGGACAGGAGCGCTGGAGCAGGGAGGCGAGTACGACTCAGCCCTTTAATTCCGTCAGGTCTGGTGGGCTCTGGTCCACTGTTGTCAGCGCACCAGTTCAGGTCAGCAGTGTCAGGAGACAGCAGCAGAGCCACCAACAATTTGGTTTATGCTGTCTTTCATTCGATTGAATTGAATTCAATCCAATCCAATCAGACCAAATTCACTCACAAAGGAACCTAATGCTTGTTCAGCGGCCTGAAAGTCTCCGTGACGTATTTCTCCTCGACTGATGGGGGCGATCCTGTTGCTTTTCTTGGCCCCCTTCGAGACAATATGTTGCTCCAAATCCCCAAACGCAATTAGCGAGGCCTGCTTCATTGATTTGATTGATTTTGACGTCGCAACCCCAATAGGTACCAGATGAAGCCTGTGGAAATTCATCAAAAATCCCGCCTTTACCCAGGAACGTTATTGCATCAATAGCGGGCCATCTCACCCGCAGGAAACGGCTCCAGTCAGCCCCAGCCCAGGCCGAGCTGGTTCAAGCCACACGAGCCGACTACCCGGCCACAACGCCTCCCCCCCCCCCCTGGCGAGCTGCGCGGCCGCCCAACGCCCATGGGCTGGGGCTGGGGCTGGCTGGCTAGCCGGCTGCAAGCACTTTGGAGGGAATCGAATTTCCGAACTAGCAATTTTGCAGAGCAAAACCCCCCCGGCCCGTCCGGGGCTGAGTAGAGAGTGGGTTGATCGCTGACTGCTGAGAGGCCGCCGCCGCAGATTTGCTTTGCCCAATGCATGTCTGCAAGAGAAGGGTCAATCTACTGTGCATTTGCCCCAGGCGCTATGGGGGAGTGATCTCCTTTCCGTAATTTGAGGAGCCTGTCCCGGCCCCCTTGGCCCTGTGGGTTGGTCTCGATGATCTCTCGTTGGGGGAGCGACCGCTGAGGGAGGCACCGTGGGAGGGAACACGAGCCCTGGGGCGATGTTTTGCTGTACTGTAGCATCTACGGTACTGTTTATGGCTTAGGTCTGGCTGGTCGGTCGGCCACTCCATCACGAGCCCCGTTTATTTTGCGTCATCTAGTGCCCTTGACTGCCCGTCGGCCCCGGCCCGTTGACGTCGATGGCGGAGAAACGTCGGATGGATGAAGGTCCTCCTCCGCGCAGACGATCCACCTGGGGCGGCGTAGTGCGACCTCGGGGCACCGAGGCACCATTCCGCCGGTGCGATGCGTTGCACTCTGTGTCGGTGAGGCAGATAGGTTGGCACAGTTCTCACAGCTTCTGGCTACGGTGAGCTCCCTATTGTTGAAGTATAGGTGCCCAAGCTTTCCTATGGTGTATGCCCGACGAAGAGACGCCACTTGTCTTCTCTCGCTCAACATTTGCCTCGGCAGGTGGCCCTTCCCATACCTTAGATCTCAAAATGTTTCTCAGGTGCAGAATCTTAGGATTACGATCTCAGCATCTCGAGGTGAACAGAAGAAATGAGCTCGAGGCCAACCCGGCATACGTATCTTCACATGGAATACGCATGTATCCTTCCACAATATTTGTTACCCTAGTTGAAGAAATGATTTTGATTTGAAAAACGATGATACAGAAATATGAAAAGGAAGGACAGTTGCTTTACCTGTCTGTTAGGACATATGACAGATATCTATGTTTGCTGGCCTTGTGGGACTCGATTCAAAGTCGACGTTGATTCCTCTTCCTATTTCACCATCACATGCCAGGCTTTTGGTAACATCCCTGTATAAAGGTTTTATTACCTATACATAAATTCGCACTGTTTGTCCCAGTGTGCTCCTTTGGCGATGGCTCCTCCTCCTTTCCATTCTGGATCATCCATGAGCGAGAACGGATTCGAAGGGCTGGAACTCTGCCCCCTAATCCCAAAAACAGATCGAGTCTACGTTGAAATACGCAGTAGTGACAGTATGCGTAGACCACCAAACCTGTGGGAAACGATCGTATCCCAAGGTTACAATGTTCTAGCAGCTTTGCTAGTCCTCTGTGCGAGGTTGGTGGATGTCTTGCTGCTGGCTAAAGGAGTCCGTACTCATTTACATGTTGTGGATAGGTAAGTACCTAAGTAGCTACGTTGCGACACAGATAGCCTGAGGTCCTTAAGTCATTCTTGACACTAACAATCGTTCAAATTATTGAACTAGAACTGATTCCCACATATAAGTTACTGCTTTTCACTTAGAGACTGCCTTGGTACCGATAAAAGGCAACGGGCCCCGTAGTATCAACCTAATATCAGTCACCCATAGTCCAGTCCCATCAGCTCTTCCGCTGCTGGGCATTAATTATGCACTCTTGGTTTGTCCAACATGTAGACTCGCTCTCCCTTAGGCGTTCGAATGTGTACCGAAAGAAAGAAACCCCGCCTTGCTTGCAGGAGATGTTTAGCAGACGCCGATGCTTCCCCAGTCTTCAAACTCTTCGCCGGTGAAGTAGAGACTGAATATCTTGAATTGCACACTATGAAGATTTCGACGGTCACTTTCAAAAGACTGAAGGTATCTATATGAAGCGTCTCCTATAAGAAACTAGACATTCTGGGTAATTGTGTGCTCCACCGCATACCGCATAATACATAGGTTTAACACGCTGCTGCATCTGAGCTTAACTCATTGCTATTATGGTTCAAAGAGTAATGTATTAGGAGTTATGACATCCTCTGATATGTTTCTTTTCGTTACATCTTGGCATCTGCCCGTGGCTGTCTGGGTGCAGTGTTTCCTGCTCTTGAGCACGATCTCTCACGCGACTGTGGATATTCAAGGGTTTGGATTCAGATCAAGACGATGTCCACGAATCATTCCAAATTTTCAAAGAAGCTGTGCTGTTGTCGATTAATGCAATAGCTTTGTCATCTGAATTCTAATCGTAATGAGATGAACCCAACCAATATCATGTACATCGTCTCAATAGACACCTTAACCATATATAAGATAAACGATCTGTAAGCCACTAATCCGGAATTCATTTTGTATTGTGCCATTCATAATAGTCTTACTACAATTAAAGGCGTGCAAGTCGTCTACTTCTTTGGAATCTCCTATCCTCCAGCGCAGCCTCAAATCGGCTGTTACCCAAGCCACTGAACATCAGCGACAAATGGTCGGGTATGTACAATACAAGAACAATTTCAATCGAACACGAGAGTTTCCAAGGTCTAAATATGCGATATGCAAGAGTAGTATTACAACTCTCAACTCGCAACAGAATAGGCTAAGTCCGGCCCAAGAACTAAACATTCCTGCTACCTAAACATGATCATTGACCAGGCACTCTATGACCTGAAGACTCCAGCACCACTTTATAACAAGAGAATTACATCGCCAAGTTTGGATAGCTAATGAATTCAACTTGGGGAAATACCAGCCGGCAAGGCTACCCGCATCAGCTATGACTACTGTCTGTCCATACTTCAGCAACAGATGCCGTCTATTGATGACTTTTGATCAGAGTATTTTCTTCTCTCGATTCTCACTTTATTCTCGCACGTGACTCAAAGAAAGAGCCCGAATCAAAAACACCTGGGACATCCCTATGCCGTCGTCATTCACGATTCGCCAGGTCTCCACCTGTGGGTCGACCACGACATACACAAAAGTGGGAAAAAAAGACACAAAAAGGAACATGCAGCACCGGGCATTCGCTGGTCGTCACCGACCCAACTACTACTCCAGCTCTTACAAGCTTGATTAAGGGAGAGCGGACGGGATCCCATATTTTCTTGTAGATATGGTCGCATGTGATGGTCTAACGTGGTATCGTGACTTAAGACGGAAAGACACTCGTGTCATGTCCGCAGCTGAGGTTGGGAACGAGTCTCTGATCGCTTGCGACTTCAGGATCTCCGGGTCGGAATAGATGAAGCTCACAAAACTCACCGTTCTCGCTTGGTTGTCTGACGGGATTGGTCAAGACAGCTTGGGAGCCCAGAGAGCCTTCACTTGGGAGACAGGACGAACCGGGAGATAGAGGGCAGTATCGCGAATTTGCACAGGATAATAGATTGAGGAAGCTTCAAGCAAAATTCATTAATACTGCAATTCTAGTGACCTTAAATATCTCCATGAATTATGCGCAGTTAGAAACTCCTGGGTTAGTTGCGTGTATGAGCCACCCGGGCAAATGGTCGACTGTGCAAAACGCGCTTCATAAGGTCTTGACTACATGATCAATTATATGGCGGCTCTGTAAGCCCCAGAGGAAAGGGACATGCATTCCAGTCTTCAGTTCTCACACCCCGCAAGATTGATATACGACCGCGTTGGCGGATGGGCCGGAGGCATGAATAGCAGCTACGGGGAGTATTTGCCCGGACGAAGGTTAACACGTCGCATGGTCAGCCGGCTCAAGAACTCTCAAAGGATGTGGTGGCCATAATTCGCCATGGATGGCCTATTATATTGCATTTATGTCATCAAGGGCCGAAACATTTTCTACTCTATAGTCTAGAGCAGGTGACCAGATATGGCCCGACAATATCTGGGCCGGCACTTATGCGCAATGTGCCCCAGCACATCAGTCCATGAATATGCAAAGTGCTGGGCCTAAAACCGTATAAAAGAAACCTCAAGAGAATTACACCATTCCAGGGGTCGATTCCCCTGCCGGTGTCCCAGAACATCTCCTCACCGATGGGTCCGCAAGCGCATTGTTCAGCACGCCCTTGGTCCACTGCGTGAACGTCTGGCCCAGGTACAAGTTCTCGTCCGCGTACGTGGCATCATAGATTGCCACGCCGCCAAAGTTGCGGTTGCAGAAGTACGCGTCTACGATGTTCGCGGTCTCGTTCTGATTGAGGTAGAAGGTCGGGTCGTCGACGGCGTCCGTGCTGCCGGGGAGGCCGATGTACAGCTTCGCGGCCGCGCTCGCGCCGCCGGCGATGGCGGTCGACCAGGTGTCGTAGGTGAAGCCGCCAGATGGGAACGTATGCGTGCCCGACACGAAGTTCGGGTTGGCGTTGACCCACGCCCTCGCGGAGCAGGCTGCCGTGTTGTAGAACTGGATGAAGAGCGCGTCGAAGGCGACGGAGGCTATCACCTGGCCCAAGCTGGCGTCTGGTACGGTGCATTGGGGTGCGGCGGTGAGGAGGAGGCCCGTCTGGGGGGATGCGGGATATAGTGTGCGGAGTTGGTTGGCGAAGGCTATATATCCAGCTGATCCGTCTATACGGACGTTTTTGTCAGTTTGCTGCATCTTGACCCATTAAATTAATGCTGGGTGCTTGCTGCTTACCATCGGGAACGTTCTCGATGTCCATCGTGAAGCCATCGACCGCCGAGCCCGTAGCGTCACCAGCGACGTCGAACGGCCTGGGCAAACCCGCCTTGACCCAGATCTTGTTCCTCGGCCCAAATAGACCCCAGAGCTCATTCGCAAACTTCACACCGTCCGTTGCGCCGTCAAGTTGGTATTCGCCCGAGTCTCCTCCAAGAGCTAGGAGGATCTTCTTGCCGTACGTCCTCTGGCACGCCGCTATGTCAGACGCGATGAGCGGGCAGTCGGATTGCAGTGCGTCCTTGGTAGGATCCACCACACCGTTGTATCCTGGGCCAGCATACACGGCGCCGCTGCATTGATTTCCGAAGTTTGTTCCTGGGAAGCCATTTGCTTGGGCTGGGAAGAGGTTGACGAAGGAGAGGGCAATCGCGTCGATGTCGGGCTGCTGGCAGTAGTACAGCAACCGTTGCTGGTCGGGTCCTTGGCCCTGGATATCGGATCAGCCCAAGCGCTCTCACTGCTCTCTGCAGGGATAGACTTACCCAGTAGACGACATTATTAACTTTTGCGTTGATGTTGAACTGCGCCCACACCTGGGCAACATAGAAAGACACAAGAATGACTATTGAATGAATGGACGCCATGGCTGCAGAGAGACCCACTTGGGTGGCTTGCCAGTGACAGCGGAAACGCGAGTGAGAGTTGACGCGAGCATTATTCACGAGATACAGAGCATGCGTCCTCCTTATAAGCCAGTATCGAGTAATTGGTGTTGTTCTTGGGGCGGAGAGGAATGCTGTCGATTCAGCGCACGCGTGTGATATGGCGAAGTCTAAGACACACGCGCTGTAGACGAGTGATGGAAAACTAGCTCAAAATCCAAAAGAATTAGTGAAATTGTAGTCAAACAGCTTCAATTATAATGGTTCCAAAAATAGGGGTCTTGATGGCTATTTGTGCCCCAGGCCTCAAGTTGACGACAAGATCCTGCTTCTCCGCCATCGTGAAGCATCAGCTATAGAACGTAGTCACGCGACAATTAATGATTTGAGAATCGAGTCCAATAGCAAAGGCTTAAGTGACGGCTGCGGTGATGATTGAAAGAGAAAAACGAAGAGATTCAACACCCGTAGAGCAGGCCTTCGCCATACGCTGGTATGATAATTGACCCTCTTGGTCGCCCAACAAAGTGGTGAAGAAATATGAAGACGTAAGCAGCCATGTTTTCTCTCAAGCGGACCTCACATATACACAAAACTCTCACACTAAGCCATCGCTTTACACTTGACGAAGATTTGGGTCCAAAAAGCGGTAGAGTCGAATCCAATCGGCGGCCACAGTCAGTCAAGCTCGGGCAGATCTGACAACTCGAGGAAACCAGGTCGGACACTCGTTTCGTTCACCGTGAAGTGTTGACGAACTGACGGCTGTGGTACGACGAGGCGCCCTGCCAGTCTCTTCAGCCACAACATGTTCCGGTGGCAGAGCAGAAAAGGCCTGCTCGATGGCACTCCTGTCCGCCATGAGATGCTGACGGGCGGAATCGACTATCAGCCCAGGCGTAAGGATTCTGTGCTGTCTCGGCCCGGAGCAGTCCGCGGCTGCCTCTCTTGACCAGGTTTCCTCTCTTCATCGTGGCCAGGCCCAGAACCGTGGTGATGCCCATGGCCAACTTCGGCATTCCACCCAATACACTGCCACTCACCATTCCTGCCGGCAGTGTGAAGCCTTTAAATTTCGACCTGTCACTGCCCATGCCCGCCATACTTCAAGGCCCTCCCCACAGGGGCGCGCGCTCGCGCCTTGCAGGGCAGAGGGACATGGTTAGGGGGGGGGGTCCCGATTCTTATCTGCGGCGAGCCAACCAAAGCAGCCGGGCGTGCAGGAGAATAGCCTGTTCACCCATCGAAAAATTCTGTGCCCATGTCTCACCTCGGAGATGAGGGCGACCCACGGCACGCCCTGTGCCCTCGGCCCTCCGAGATGCCACTTAGTCCTATTGCTGCTCACGCTCACGAGGTGGGTGATTCGCCGTAGAGCCGAGTCCGTTGGTGTGGTAAGGGTACGTCCATCTCAGCCCAGGGAGAGGAGAGAGAGTGTGAGGGCACAGCCAAGGTTTACTACTGGCCCGATCTCTTACCGGCGGACATCGCACAGCTGACGACAACTGGCGATGGCTCGCGCATCCTCCCGGATGTGGTTGAATTCGGGTTGTGGGGGCGGGGGGCACTTCTGCACACACACAGCCGCCCCCTGCCCGCAGGCCGACGAGATGATGTGATGAGGCTCTCTGGCTGCCTGCTGCCTGGCTGGGGCTGGGCTTTTGCACAGGCATACGCACAACCAGGGCTAAAGTTGGTTGATAGCGAAATGAGAAATGAGGGAGGCCACCCCAGCCCTTGGAGGGTCACTAACACGCATTCACGTTCAATCTGCCGGGAAACTGTTAGTGCCTTGGGACATTTTCGGCCCGTCGGCCGGCCAAGTGATCTCCCCGGAGTGGGAGGTGGAAAGTGGACACAGATATACACACCCTTGAATATTTCCGTTTGGTAATCCGACGATTCCAGGCCTATTTCCGAGGCGTGTCATTGAATGGTGATGGCCTCAACGGCTCTTCCACACTTGTTTCCCTCGCTGGGTGTGGACAACATTGTCCAGCCATCGCTCTTAGCCAGAAGGATGGCCGATTCGGGGACCTTACGAAAGTGACATCCGACACGTCTCATTCCACAAGAGCTAGAGCTGACATCAAGACGACCAATCGCTTCCGAATAGCAAACCGCGGCTTCTCTACAGCTTCCGTAGCACTCCATGATCCTTGTGGGACTTGAAGTCGTGTTGTGATACGTCAGCATATTCTCACGGTAGGTCGATGTCACGGTTTGTCTCTCAATGTGGTTTTGAGCCCCTCCAGTGAGGACGGCTAAACATGTGGTATTTGGTATCAGACTTTTTCGAGCCTTCCTTCTCTCTACCAGGCCCCTAGAGAAAGTGTAAACCCTGAAGACCTCGTCCTGCCCAATTCCAACGAGGCCAGTCCCGCGCCGTCTTAGAAGACAACAGAAATCGTCATGTGCCTCGTGGTGCACTTTGTACATGAGTTGCCCACCTCCAGAATTGCCACCCCTTGTATATCGAAATCTCAAACCCCGGTGTTTGTTTGATTTGTATGCAAGTGCAATGAAATCTTGCCTTCCCCAAACGCCTTGACGCGAAGTCGGTTGCTTCCAGCGTCTCAAACCCACGGAAACACCAAAAGCATGGCTATAGCCCCGTTGCGCCGGCGCTGACAAACGGTGCCAACGCGGATGAATTGTTACAAATGAAAAATGCAGATAAGTCGTCGGTAGGAAAGTAGATACAGATGAGAGTTGAAAAGATGTTGAGGCGAGATGCCCCCGAGAATCGATTTCCGTCGGCGCCAAGCAATGGTATGTCTGCCATGCTCGAATTCCGGGCCACAGGAATAGAAGAGTAGATATTAGAGATATAGGGAATTATTGTCTGTCGGTGGGCGATTTTCCATCCGTTGATGGGTCGACGGGGCAGTCATCCCAAAGCCAAGCACTGTCCCCCCATGTGAATGATGAGAGGCTCGCCGTACTAGATGACGGCTGTACTGCCATGTTGTGGCGTTTGGGCGAGATGTGGCTGATGCCTCGCCAGTGGAGTGTCGTTGAACCGGGTCTTTCGAAGCTCGTGTTTCAGATCGTTCAAGGGAAAGGAGGTCGGCGCGAGGGGTCTTGGGGAGGCTGGAACTGTGATCTCCTTCCATTTTCGCCGCGTGCAGCGACCCATTCGGCGTTTCCACTCCGTCGCCCGGGCATTTCGGCGGGTGTCTTCGTGTCGTCGGATGATGAGGGTGCTCGTCGGGCGGGTTGTGGTGGAGCACTGGGACCAACTGGTGTGGAGCCAGGCACGAGTTGGGTGACGGCCTGGGTGATGGAAGAGATGACATAGCTGCGCAATTCGCGGTCCTCTCGCGCGTCCTCCTTTTCAAGACGGAATCGCTCATCCTTGCCCATGTTCGATCTTCGGATGTTCTTGATCTCTTGCAAGATGTATAGCAGGACTTCTTCAGGACATCGGGTCCGCTCGAGGGAATATTCGCTCTTCCGTACATATCGCCGGGTGACATCAGTGGCGCCGTCGATAGAGAATGCAATGCAGTATGACATCTTCTTGCCCCATCCTTCCGAGTAGAGTCGCGGGTTATCCCATGCCTCCTCGCAGGCATCGACATGCACCCATCTTTTCTGATGCTCCGAGTAGACTTCTGTCCACACGTGGTCTTCGGCATTCCATACCCAGCGGACGCGGCTACCTACGGCACGGCAGAGCATGCTGAAGCAGTTTGCCCACTCTCCGCATCGGCCCCTTCGTGTTTGAAGTAGTCGCCAGACGTCGCTGTATCGGGGAAAGCGTTCGTAAGCCCCGCAGGCAGAGTTCGAGCATCGGTACAATTCGACAATGAGGGCACCACAAGCATTCTCTTCAGGTGTCGGTGCGGTCTTGCCTTGGGCTACTGTTGGTGACAGGCACGCTGGGCATGCCGGATTGTTCACCCAGGTGAAAAAGGATCGTTTGAACCATCTGATGACTCGAGTCAGAAACTTGATAGTTCGCGTCAAGGTGGTCAGAGGGGTCGTGCAGAGACATACCTGAGCAGTGCTCGGACTACACAATCTTGGTAGCCCCAATCGGGTTTCCGGCCATCACCCATACTCTCAGCCTGTGCCTGCAAGACCTGTGCCTCCTCCTCGGCTTCTCCATAGACGCGATCCAACGGGATGACCTGGAGTGCCTCGTCGAGGAGCCCGGGGTTCTCAAATTTCGTTGGCGTCTGTGAGAGAGTGACCAGAAGGTTTCTAAACTTCTGAGATTCCCTGTCATTTGCTGCCGGCGCTGTGGGTACCTTTGGGATGTTACGCAGTGAGGCATACGCGGGGGGAGTAGCAGTGTGCGATGTTGATGGGCGTCCGGGTGAGGCTGGGGCGGCGGAGGCTCGCAGGTTCGCAGACGAGGCCGACTCTCGAGGCTGTGGTGTGCCCTGGCGAGATCGGCTGCTGAGCTCGTTTAATCGCCTGTCCCTTAAGAGTTGCTCAAACTGGATCCGAAGATCGTGTGCCCAGGCCTCATCATATTGGCCATCAGGCACATTGCCTCGGTTCGGGTCCATCTTTCGAGTCGAGTCGGTTCTAGAGTGATGTTCTCTCGATCCAGAATGCGGGTGTTGTGTGAAGGTCCACGGGGGAGGATATATGCGTGGCGCGACTCGTCGTCGTAAGCGCTTGCGGAATAGGCGTTGCAACCTAGATCGCCACCTGGCAAAGGGCCCCCTTCAATCTGGTGGTTGTGCTGGTAGTGTTTAGTCGGAGGGTAAAGTTAATCGCGGTCACGGCCGTCGCAGTCGCAGTGGTAGGCGTGATGCAATAATGGGTGACCTCGGCTCGATCTATACCACGTTCCTTGATCCCTTGGTGATGAACAAGAACACCATCCGCGCTGCCTGGACAAAAGAGTGTATAGGTTGAATGATGCGGCGGCGAGAGGGAGGGAGGAATAGACGCGGAGGCAAGGATTGAAGCGGAGGGCGGGATAGGAAGTAATAAAGAGGACGGCGAGTGTTAATGGGCGGCGGCAAGGTGGAGTGGGTATGAAGAGGAAAAGAAGGGAATAATGGTGCAGGAGGGACAAGAACACGATCGGGCTGGAGAGAGACGGCAGCAAAAAGAGTCGTAATCGGGAGCAGCAAGGCCAAACAAGCGGACCCTTGAGGCTTGAGGGGAGGAGACAGTGACAGGGAGATGGGAACAGCGGATGGATACGTGGGACGCTTGCGTACAGGGGAGTCGCAAGAGGGAGTGGTCCGGTCAGAGAGAGTGCGTGGTACGTACGGTGCGGCAGTGGGGAGGTCAGGGTAAGAGCCGAGAGTGGACTGGGCGACTGCGACTGGGTGACTGGCGACTGGCGACTGGCGACTGGCGACTGGGGGCAAGGGATTAGTGTGCAATTGCGTGTTGCGTGGACGTCCACCTCATTTGATGCTGGCGGGCTGCCCATGCTGCCATGCCCAACCTTGGGAACCCTGCCATACTGTACCCTGCCATCCATAGCCCTGCACATGTACTGCCCTGCGCATGTACTGCCCTGCCCTGCCCTGCCCTGTCCTGCCTGCGACGACTGATTTACACACACGGGGCAGCAGACTGGCTGGCTACTACCAAGTACGTACCTTTACAACCAAGCCAACCTAGTCTGCTAGTCCAACAGTCCAAAACGACAAGCTGGCCCTTCAATCGAATAGAGCCATGCAGGTACTGCCTCACTGCATGACAGATAGAGGGACAGATAGACAGACAGACTCGTGAGCAAGCGAAAGAACACAGACAGTCCAGAACAATAAGCCAACCCAACCTTAGAAGGCACAGGCCAGGACACGCCGGCGCAGGGACAGGCGCACGTCGTAACAGTTCCTTCCTCACATGCACGTGGAAAGCCCGCCCACAGCACAGCACGGCACAGTACAGTACGAGCAAAGTACCTGCCCAGCCTAGGTACTAAGGCAGTATGGTAGGCGGACGGACGGGTAGGCGCACTGAGCCGATGACCGATGGGGAATGGGGACGGACGGTGTGGGGCCTGGGCGCCTCTTTCCCTCTGTTTCTCACACTCTCTCACACTCTCACTCGCTCCTGCTACCCTCGGTTTGGCCCCACCTGCCCTCACTGACGAAAAAAAGAAGAGGAACCCCGGGCTCGTCGACAGCTGGACGCGCGTTCAACAAGCCACGGCCACCCAATCACGCCCCATCATTTCGAAAGTGTATGGCCCGTCCGCAGCGGGTCGGTACACGTCCTGATGTACCCAGGCACCTTTGTACCACCGTATCTGGTTTTCCCTGCCCTTCTCTGCTGCTCGCCTCTTGCTTCTGGCGCTGCACGCTCCACGCTGCACGCTCCTCGGAACTCAGAATAACTCTGGCACACACGCCATCTATAATTAACGACGGCGCTGTACGCGGTGAACTCTGCTGATGTCTGTCCCTCTTTTCTTGCCTGCTATCTACCAAGGAGGATAAGGTTGTCTTGAACAGATAGAATTGTGCTTTATTTTGATGGCGAGGAAATGGAAATAGAAAGACAGACGAGATTATCGGCTGTTGCTGAATGGAATGGCCGTGGTCCCAGGCCCCCTCTCCTTCTCGTGCACATCACGTTAATCTCCGATGCGGTAGGTAACAGTACAGTAATGTGTTTCTGCCCTTTGCAGAGGATGACGAGGCTCAGGTCTTGGCATCGCCGCGCAGTGCAGTCCTAGCCCCAGGTTGCCCCAGGCCTCCCCCCTCCGCGTGGCTTGACTGTGCAACACGACAGAATTCTTCCACTCCATCACTGCCGCCGTTGGACCCTACTGTTGCAGCAGCCAGGCTGACTCCTGAGCCTACCTGTCAGCCAGAAGATTAGAGTGTGTCCAATCCATCTAGTCTTGAGCATCGCCTGCCGGCCCGAGTCAGAACCTGGCCCTGGCTGATGAGGCCTCGTCTTCATGAGGATACCTGAATGGAGATGGAGATGGATGCGCTCGACAGCCTGGCCTGGATGAACTCTACACAGCACAGACTGACGGGACACGCGCGTGAACCGGTCCAGACAGCACCGGGGCAGTAATGCGGATCGACAACCTCTGACTCTTGAAACGTTTCTGGTGTTGAGAAACATGTGTTATGTAATCAGCGCCGACCCAGGTGTTCCTGTCTCCTCGCCTCATCAGCCTTGTTTCTGCCTACCCCCCTCCCTTACCTCATCTCACTCGGCCCCCCTTCTCCACAGTGTCGCACTTCAAACCACTGCGGACTGTGCGATGACGACCACTGCATTCGGCACACCCTGACCCGGACGGCTCGATGCTTCAGATTCAGATTTGCAAAAAAGATGCTTAATCCCATAGTCAGGACACGCCCTGTCACTCCTCATGGTCGCGAGAAAGATGGGATGATCGTCCACCACCTCCTCGTTCCCCATTTCCGTGCTCCAGTCTCGCGTCTCTTTCAGACTGCCAGAGTCGATCTCGCAGATCAACAATTTGTCAACTTCGCGAAACTGCAACAATCCACGTACTCATCGTTTCGCTTCCGCCAGATACTCGCCCACTCCCGTGCACCCCTTCCCACCTTGACGTGGCCCGACCTGCTCGGCCCAGAAAAATGGATGTTGACCGACTCGGACAGCACCGCCGCCGCCGAACACACCCAGCGGTGTGCTGTCATTGTTGACTTGGCCGGGTTTTTGGGTCGTCGTCAGTCGGCGTGTCCCTCCTCGCAGCCTCCACGTGTGAGGCGACACAGTTTACCCCAGGCAGGATAGATGACGACGTCCACTCCCGCCTGGCACTAACCCGCGATTGCTAATGCTGCCATGCACACTGGAGCATTTCGATTCGCGGCTCATTTGTCCGGCGTAAGACCGCCCGCCGGCTTGTCCAACACGACGCGCCAGACTACTTACAACGATGCCCACGCGGCATGTCGTGACCCTCTGTCCAGCAAGAAACATTACTTCAATCCACCGTAGACACACAAAACAAGCGGCGGAGCCTAATAATCTACCTCGATGCCAAACCAGCCCTGTGAATGAACAGTACGGAGTAGGGGGCAAGAGTCTCTTGGGCCTTGGCAACAGGGTTTCTCGATTCCAAATCGCGGCATTGTCGAAACTCTGATGTGCTGCGCCCTACGCAGATTGCCATCAAGGTTTTGACGAAGCCTCACCACAGGTCCCATGCTGCTCCAAGCTTCAGCCTCAGCGCCCCCAGGCATTGCCAGAAGAGGGAAACCACTCTGTGCGTGGTGATCGACCTCGCACTGTAGCGTCAGGGAGAGCTTGCGCGGCCTGCTTGGCTTGGTGTGGTCCTTAAACTCCAGCCCAGGTCGCGGGTCGCCACCCCACACAGCAGATCACTGGCCCGTCAGGCCCGTGCGCTTCTCAACCAGTCCTCTGGGTAAGCCGGGCCAAAGTCTTGCCAAGTTGTGCAGGGGGGTTTTTCGGTTCCCAAGATTCTGTTCTATCGATATTCGAAGCCGGACCTTCTAGGATGTTAGATTGATATTCAAGCATCAGGATGCAGATGCGGCTTGCCGCGCCAGTAGATCTGGTCATCTTTCAATCACATCGACAGACGATGCGAACCTCGACCACTGGGCTGGTGCCACCTGAGAGGAACAAGTGATCCAGGAGTGCGCAATCCTTTGGGGTCCGTTCTAACCTGTTAGGATTTCCGAAGTGCAATCCCACATTCCACCACTGGTCACCATCCACAGATGCTGAGTAAGGATCGGCTATCTGGTCGTCGACTGTCCACGAATATAGATTGCACAAAGCAACTCGGCACTATATCTGAAGAGTCCCGTCGAGGTGGAAGCGCGGCTGTCACGTTGACGGCTCCCACAAGACATCGGGACATCTGCTTAGGTATACGCGCGCTCGTACAGGTCTCGAGGCTTCGATGTCACCAGATTCCAGATAGTAGTACTGTGTACTATCCCAATGCGAACGCCTTGCGCAATAGACCGTCCCGTCTCATGGGTCCACATTGCTAGCTGCCGGTCGGCGAGGGTGTCATCCTCCGGGGTGCAGGGTCCTCACCATGATCACGAAGTGACGACGTCCCTGACCTCAATACATGGCTTTCGTCTACCCTAATTTCCCGTGTGACAGCCGCGCAAACGTCCGGTCCTCCTAGCAGCCTGTCCCCCTTTTCTACTTGTTCCATATTCATGGAGTAGTTGCCGGCTACCGATCGAGACCAGGATGCCTGGATCTACGCTTAGATAAACCAACCAAGGTGGATGCCGAAGTCCGGACCACCAGCCTTCGGATCCGAGTCAGCGGCCGGTAGCCTCTCTGTCCTCTGCCTTTCCGTCATATATTTTTTGATACTTTGTTGGAACACGGCAATAGTCTCATGACTACATTGGAGCTACTGGCATACTCGTTGCGCAAGTACACGGCCTCCAGCCCTGTCGAAGGATTCAATCTCATAATTAGAAGGTCACAATATCGAATTCATGGTCACAGTATTACACAGAATCTCAGACCATGACTGACTATACGCCAGAACCAATAGATATCAGTAAGCCACGTGTGTATTAGACATTGTGGCCCACCCAGTCTCAAAATACCGCAAAGATTTTCGTTTTCGCTCCCTGCTGAACGAGAAAACTTGATCGTCTGCCCAGAGTGACGGAAAAGGCTGCCCACGTTACCGGGTCCCTCATCTCAGAGCAGCGTGGTTGACGCGCGTCTCTGCGCCCTCAACCCGTCCCATGTAAGCAAAAGTCTCCACTACGGGATAACTCAAAGTCCTGGGGCGACCAGGGCTGATCCTTGAAGGTGAGCAGACTGCGCGGACCTGCCAATTTCTCATGGTTCTTCCATAATTGAAAAAGAGTGCGTATGAACCTTTCCCAAAAAGATGCCCTTGTCGCGTTGCACACACACAGTCAGGGCCGCGGACGCCCAGGTACCCATCGATAATGTCATGCCATGAAAGGCCAGGAATGGGGGGATAAGAAATGAGCCGGCTCGAAAAGGGAATCGCCATGGCGACAGCGTGTCCCTCGAACATGTGGGCCCGGGGTTGGCTGGCAGGCTGGGCGGCCATGAGAAGTGGGAACGTCACCCGCCGGCGTCGCTGTCGTCGTAGCCCGCCAAGCAGGGAAGGCTGGCGGGAAATTCTCGCCGTCAAATAGTCGGCAGAGTATGTGCATGTGGTGCCACATGGGAAGGGGAATACTTGCTTTCTCTTGCTGACGCTACCGTGCCGCCACGCGCGACGCGGCATGTGGGAGACGACGCCCGACTGATCTATTGCTGACTCGGGAGTGGTTTGCCTGTTTGCGTACTCCTCTCTCTTTCTCCCTGTGTACGTACTCCTTCCTGTTTGATGTCCAGTCCAGGCGGGATGAAACGGGTTTCTCGGACACGGACCGTGACTGTCGGGATGGAAACAAACTAGTGTGATGATGGGGCGTTTGGTTCCAAGTTGTCCTACGGCAAGATTATAGGCATATCATGACCACGTACTGTCGAGTGTAAGGCGTGGCAAACATTGCTGCCCAGCATATACTCTGGCGGGTTGGCAATCATGCGGTTCTCTTGTACGGATATGCAGCACTGAGTGAAACTAGACGGCGCGGAATGAGTGTTTAGTTTCGTATGCATAACTCGGCACGTGCCGCGCACAGAAGTCCGGTTAATTCTGCACTGCCCTCTCAAGGTTTACAGGTAATTATGGACACACTTGGCGACCACATTATACTTTCCTATTGTCATGTCTAAAACCTTCGAAACATTACGACGCGTAACGGCTCGAGAAGAGGCTTTTGATCCCTCGGACTAAATATCGCCGTCGTACAGGATGGAAAGTCACGAAATTGCAATCACTTCTATCTGGCACATGACGCTGCATTTGTGTGCCTCATGAGCAATATAGTCTTATTTTGGCATCCTGACATGGCTGCCAACGTACCGTTTTTGTCAGCACCCATATTGCCCAGCCTTAATCTCGAAGAGGGGCCCCCCAGCAAGGTCACAATGAGATGGCTACAACCCAAGATGATTCAGTGGTGGGGTCTAGACCCAGGTCGGGTTGCCCGTCTTCGCGTGGACGGGCATCTGTTGATCACATCCCGTCGTCGGGCGATGACCGGCCTAGTTAAACAGCCATGCACCTAGATAGCTCGACACCATCCCGATAGCTGAAGCTCGAAGCTCAGGGCACCTGTTACAAATTGAGAATCATAGACGGTTGTGGGTTTGCCCCTAGCGAAGACCTTGAAAGCCACCTGGATCAGCATTGTGCTAGTCCTACGACAGCGTCATGTAGGCAACGGGGCAATGTCGATCAAGCTGACGACGACGCTTTGCCGACTAAGGTGACTGAGACGCGTGTGCTGACCACCAAGACACTATGGGTCTTCTTTTCTTTTTTTGGGAAAAAAAAAAGTATGCAACCGGGTCCTGGGCTTGGTTTGGTATGCGAGATGTCAGGCCGCGGTTTAGCTGACGACCAAGAGAGGAGTAGGTGGGCTGGTGACGATTGCCTAGTCGGAATGAAGCCGAGAAGGGCTCATGTTTGCGCGTCCAGCTATGCTAGGGCATGCAAGAGAGAATAGGCAGCCGAGAGTGCACTAGGAAGTGCGCCACTCAGTGACCTTGCCATGCAAAGGCTCAGTGATGAGGCCGATACCAAGAAGTTGACATGCTCATCTCTGGACGAGGGATAAATCAATATTACCTTGCGTGGCAAGGTGTCTTTCGATCCGATACCTGTTTTCATCTGGTACACCGCTCGTAAGAGGTGCCCTCTGAATTGGTATCACAATTTACAAATCGAGCCTGGGTCTCTTTCAAAGCAGACCGTGATGCATGCATGAACTAGTTAAGAAATGGCTGATCATGAACAGATAGACGCTCCTCAAGTCGAGGATACTGTGTTGAAGGTCGATAATAACGAGTGAACAAAGCGGTTGATATCATAAGCAGAATCTTTCTTATTTGTGTTGTCTTCTCTTTAGCTTTTATCTGGCACCCCCTCTCTCTTTCGCTATAGCTAGCTTCGCCATACAAGTGAAGATAAATCCTGTGCTGCTCGATCTTGCACGGTATGTCGAGATAATGGCATGTGTATAGCAGTATCGTTAAGTCTGAAAATTAACTTGCCAGTTTCTAGTTCTCCCCACCGACTACAAACTTGTACAGTGCTTGTCAAGCCTGAAAGCGTATTTGTTATCATGATAAAATTTCTTAATGTTGCAAATTTAGTGTACATACGAGCTGCTGGAAGTTATTACAGAAAAGTGCGCACCTATTAAAGTACCTATAAATTATACTCTAAAGGCTTACCTTCTGCTAAAATAAACTTAGCTAAAATAATAATACTTTTATTAATACTTTATTACTTACTATATAATTTATAATATTTTATAGTTATAAGCTTAGTTTACTAACTTATTTTTTTTTTAATTAAAAGTATTAAAAATTTATAAAGTAAAAAATTTATTTAATAAGCTTTTAATTACTTTTTTTATATATATTATTTAATATATTATACTATTTTTAATAAACTTTTTTTTTTTATTATAAGTTTAATTTAATTATATTAATAGTAGAAATTAATATATTTTTTAATAGCTTTTTAAAATAGTTTATAAATAATTTATATTTATAATTTAGTTAGTATATATTTTTAAAATTATATTATAAATTAAAAGGGTATTAAAAGTATATAAACTTAAATATATTTAATAATAAGCTATAATTAAGTTTATAAAATATAGTGCTTTTTTTTAAAAAATAGTATATTAAGTATTTTAGAAAATAAAATATTAAATATTAAATAAAGCTTAATATATAATAAATAAGCTAAATTATTAATAAGCTAGAAAATAATACTTTTAAATTTATTTTAATACTTTTATTAATATATATATTAAAAAAACCTATTAAATTTAAAAAATTTATTATTAATAAAGTTATAAAGTATTATAATTTTTATTTAAAAAGTATAGTTATTAAAAAAATAAATAATAATAAAATAAATAAAATAGTTAATAAAATTTAGTTATAAATTTAAAAAAGTATAAATAAATTAATTTTTAAATTTAACTTTATATAACTTTTTAAATTTAATATTTAAAAATAGGTTTTTTTAATATAATAAATACTTTATAATATTTAAATTAATATAATATTAAATTATTATATATTATAAAATATTATAATTAAAAATTATTAAATATATTTTATAAAAGTAAAAAGCTATATAATATAATTTAAAAATTAATATTAAGTTTAATATAAGCTTTTTTTTAATAAATAAGCTTTTAAAATTTTAAATATTAAAAGTATAATTATTATTAAAAACTTTTTTTATATAATTAAATATTATTTTATTTTAATATAATTTAAAGCTAAAATTTAAGAAATTATATAAAATAAGGTTTTTAAATTATTAAATTTAATATTTAAAAAGTATAAAAAAGTATTTATAAGCTTTTTAATATATAATTAAATTTTTATAGTTATAGAATTTTTAAATATTTTTATTATATTTAAATAATAAAAATTATAAATTATAATATTATAAATATAAAAATTAAAAGAATAAGTATAATAAATTTATAAATTATAATAATATTTTTATTTAAAAATATAAAAAATATTATATAATTAAGTATTAAAATAGTATAACTTTTTAAAATATTATTATATTAAAAAAAAGTTAAATTAGCTAATATTTTAATTACTAAGTAAATATATAAAATATATAATTATATAAAGGTTAAGTATAAATTATAATACTTAACTTATTATTAAATTAAAAAATAAAAAGTAGTTAATATTAAATTAAATTAAATTAGTTTAATTATTATTTATTAAAGTATAAGCTAGCTAATTATTATAAAAAAATTTTAATATATAATATTTAAAATTTATTAAAAAGTAAATATTTTAATAAATATATTTTAATTAAGTTAAATATTAGCTATTTAAAGGTTTATAAAATCCTTATACTTTTTTATTTTTATTTTTTTTATATTTTTTATTCTTTATTTTTTATTTTTTATATTATTTTAATAATAAAGTTTTTTAATATATAAAAAGCTTAATATACTTTTTTACTTTATATAAAAACTTTAAAATTTATTTTTAAAATTTAATTTTATAATATTTTTTTTATAATATATTTTATTTAAAATAATTTTTTTTAAAATACTAGCTTTTTTATAATTAATAATTTATAATAATAATTTAAAATATATATTTAAATAATAATTATAAGTATAATAATTAAGTATAATATATTAATAATAAATATATAAGTTTAATATAATATATAGTTAATTTAATATAGTATTTAGTAAATATATTAAAGTATTTTTTATAAAATAGCTTAAGCTATAAATACTTAATACTTTTTTTTTTTATAACTTTTTATATATAAATTTATTAATTATTAATTTAATACTTTTAAAAATATTTTATAATTAAATATATATTTAAAAAAATAAAAATTTAAAAGTATTTTTAATATTATATTTAAAGTACTATATACTTATAAACTTAATAGTTTTTAATAATTATAATATAATATATTTAATTAATAATATTTAATTATTAAAATTAAACTTTTTTATTAAATTTATTAAAGCTAAATATATAAATATAAAAATAACTTTATTTTTAATAATTAAAAAACAAAAAAAAATATTTAAAAATATATTTAATAAAAAAATAAAGCTATAAATTAAAAATTTTAAATTTAAAAATATAATAATTATAAAGGATTTTTATATAAATATTACTTTTAAAGCTT